AATAGATTTTGTTTCACTAGATAATATTTTCAATATTATCCAAAGATTTTGTAGATTTTAGCTTCACTTTTCCTAGCTCTTCTTCATTAATGTCTTCATTTAAAATGCTTCAACAGTTTAAAAAATAAGTAGGTTCAGTCAACCATTGTGGGTCTTCGCACCATCTGAGTTACAAAAGCTTTGCTGCTGTAAATCCCCTAAATGGCAAGTCGGAGGGATTCGGTTAACCAGTGCACGTTTCTATGCGAAAGGAGAGGTTAGTTTTCTTACCTCATATACTCGATTTAGGACAAACATTAATCAGTTCTCTTTTCTAACTATCCATGCAAGTATAATGTTGAATATCTCCAGTATTAAACTTTCGCATCTTTCCAATTCAGTGCGTCAACCGAATTTGTCAATCTTGCACCCACCAAGACAGCTAAAATTTCCATATGTGGTTACTGTTTCGCCTCTTAAAGCAGCTACTCTGGATTTAGAAGCAATCATTGAGAGCTTAATAGAATTTTCTCCTTCTAATCTCAAAAATACCATATCAGCATCACAGAACTTTGCTAACATCATAGAAAGTATGGATTGTGAAATGCTCCAAATTGTCTGTTGTAAATGCTGGTTTCAAATGCAGTCATTCAGTTTGCGAGAAATCGTGCTGCAGCAAGGGTGCTTGATATTGGAAAAAACTCCATACGTGAGTGGGAGAAAAATGATATCATTTGCGAAAAAGGGTAACGAAATGCCTATCCTGAAAGAAAGTGTTGCCAACTGGGTCCTAGAAAATCACCAAAATCGCTAGTAACAAAAATTAGGTATATGCAGAAATAAATTTTTTTAATGGTCATCTTTTCTTTATTTTTAAATCTATCCTTTCTATATCTGGCGTATAATACACACATGATGCGTTAAATGGGCATTCGATTTTATTTTTTGTATTAAAAGTGCGTGTTGTACGCCGGACTATATGATACATCTTGGAGAAAATCAATGCATTCTAATTAAATACTGCACAGGACAGATCAGTGCTGAAATAATCTTCAATTTTCATATTTTTTAAAAATAGTAAAACTTCACATACTCTTTAATCTAAGTTTTCACACTAAACTGAGAAAATTTTCAGCATAAAAAATTCACCCGTATACTGAGCAGTAAACGTATAACCTTTCTGTAATGACGGGGTAAGTTATTATTCGAAAAATACAGAATGGTGTGCCAAGATCGATATATGCCAGGAATACACTTTATCAAAATCTACAGTGAAATATCGGAAATCGAGATTAAATAATTTATTTCTGATGGAAAAAAAGTACTGAATACGACCAAAAAGTTAAAACGGGACCGATTATGAGGATATCGACGAAGCATTGCTAAAATGGTTCAGTTCACCATTCAAACAAATCTGTCTCCATTATCTGGTTAAAGGCTTTTAGATATATATTTTAGAAGATGAATAATTGGAAGAACGGGTCTAAGCCATTACTTTTATGCCAAGTAATTTATCATGTAAAATTATTAACATATGGAAAAAGTGAAATTTTACGATAAAGAAATTTAGTAATTCTACGTAACAAAAAGATATATATATATATTGTTGTATGATCTTAAATTCATTTAGTGCGAAAACAAGTTACTACTACTTGTGCAATTGCTGCAAAGTTAGTTAATAATAATTTATTTCCAAAACAATATTGATACTTTGATTATATTATCTCCTAAGTTTAATTAAAGAGTGAATCCATACTAGTAAGTTAGACTTTGAAATATGTTTTGAAGTAACTTAAAAGTAAAATGTTAATAATGTTTTAACGGGGACTGGAATTAAATCATCATGAAGAACAAAATTTCAATTGTAAAAAAAGTTTTCAGATTTTATATTATGCCCAAAGAAGCCCTTTTTTTTTTTTTTTTTACATTTTGTGTTTGTTACCTTTATTTATTAAATATCATGTTGTTTTCACTTAAATCAGAAAATTCAACAGTAATATCACAAAATAATTTTAAAGGAGCATGTCTAGAATTTCGCATACACAGTCTTGTGCACTGGAGATAATTCCCCCCCCCATAGTGTTGCTATGGCTAGCTTTGATATCATTGACTTTCTTAATCAGAACTCATAAATGCTTTAACAAAATATGAAGGGCTTCCAGATGCCCATATTCTGATGGAGACGCACATTATCCAAAATTTGATGGCTCTAGGTACATTGTTTTATCAAAATGCGAGAAACATACATGCACTTATGCTGATTCTTCATTAATTTCTTTAAATATAATACAAGGCTCTAATATTTGAAGGCAACAATTCAAAAAGTGATTCGCCATTTATAGTGAATCAACTCAAAATGCCAAAACGAAATTAATAATCCTTCTGGGCTAATAATTGTAATTAATTCCTAAGATTTTATAAATTTAGAATAATTATTCATTTCTTTTGGGAAATATGACAATGCTAATCACTATTTTTTTGACTCACTAATAAATATTTACACGATTTTAAAGGTGGTTCATTTTTAAAAAAAATCAGATTTGATATTAGCAAACTAAGCTTTATGTACCTTAAAGTTTGACTACAGATAAAATATTATAACTGTCTAGGAAGAAAGGAAAATGTAGTTTATAGGAAATAATTTCTAACATTGAAGCATAAATTGGGTTGGAAGTGAATTTTTACTTTTTTCCCAACATAAAAGTTTTTGATTCTTTATTTGGGGGGGGGGGGAACCAGTTTGAATGCCTTAAAATTCTGCATATACATTTTATTGTATGTATAAAGGAAACAGGCTATTATTCACTATTTAAGATATTGATTTGTTTCTAATTTATACATTAGATTTATTTTGCAGATAAGAATTCACTTAAAAAGACAGGTGCCACCCTATGCACGTTTCTACGCAGAACTTTTGAGTACCAATAATAATCACCATTTCTTGCCCTTTACCATTGATAAATGCACTTAAAAAAAATCGAAACATTATTTATCTATTTTTTTAAACGAAAAATAAGAATACGTATTTATGAAATATTAATAAAACTTTGCCATGCCATTCCAATATAGACACCTTATACAGCAATTTCTTTATTTACTGTAGATGAAAAATAGTGAAATTAATAATGTTAAATATTCAAATACAGATATAAAAAATTCAGTCGTTCTGTTGCAAGAAATTTAATTTTTTATTACAATAAGCAGGCTATAAAAAAGAATTAAAACTTATCAAAAGTTTGCTGCTCATAGATCTTTCTGGGGCAGATGTTTTTCCCTAGATTGTTTTGTTACTTTCAAAGGAAAAATTTTTCACTTATAGTAAACAATTTAAATATCGGAATACACATATCAGAATGAAGGCAGTAATTCTGTTGAAGGAAATTTTATTTTTCTCTAACAAATAGACAATGCTCTGAAGCAAATGAATACAACTCAACAGTTCAGGAATACTTCCAACATATAAGTTCTTAAAGTCTCTTCTGTCATCCCCTTCTTATTTCAGGATTAAATTCTTGTGTCAACTTGAGTTAGTCTTGCATATTATATACCGTGAAATTAATTAAATAGTATATTTCAGTTCTTACAGTTGCTGTGGCCATAGTTACACTAAATAAAACTTTCTATTTCCTTCTTAAACTTGTCTCAAAGTCTTGAATTTAATTTCAGAACATACACCGGGAAAAACGGAGTTTGAGTTAATTCTACCATATAACATGTACTTTTAATTCAAAAAATAAGATCGAAATTCACGGGAGTGTGTTATACGCCAGACATAAAAATGATACCTTTTGAAATAAGGAAAAGAACAGCATACAGAAATTAGATTACTAAATGTATCTAAATATGGTTTGTTTAAAAGTAATGACATACAGGGCCGAAAGTGCATTCTTACCCCACATTATGTCCCACTTTTCTCCAAAGCCTAGAATAACATTCTTTTGCACAACTGCATTGAATACAACCCTTTTTTGCAGAATTATTTACACCCTCAAGCACTCCCCCCCACACACATATTATTTTCCTTATCACTTGTTAATATATCATTTTTTGAAAGTCTTGGAAAAATATTCCATTAAATGACTGCAAAGGATAAGAGTATTGCACATATATCTTTCATGTTTCTTCTTTTAAGAAGGGTGCATGTTATACGACGAATATACTTAAAAGCTAAAAAATGTAGTTTGAAATTATTGGTGTGATCTATACGTCGGAATATATGGTAGGTAAAAAAATAAATGCAAATGAATAATTTGTTTGATGATGATGATGGCTTAATAGCAGTTAGTTATTCCACATTTGAGCCAACAACTGGTTGAAAAAGACTGAGAAACCTACCTCTAAACTTTTAGAATTAGAACAAGTGGTATAAAAAACTGGCACATTGGCTATCAACAGCTTGGATAACAATTAAAAAAAAAAAGTGCAGAATTCATTTAAAAACTATTATTTTACCAATCTTCTTGATCACATGGACGACTTCCCAACAAAACATTAGAGCGTAATGAAGCCGGTGCTGGTCACAGAATTTGATTTTCAAGATAATGCTGAGTTGAAAAGAAAAATGAAATACCTGCTTAAAAAGAGATATTTTTATTGTTAAAAGAACCATATTATACTTAAATAAAAGTGCCTTTTAAGTATGTTCTGCAATTTTATTCATTTTTTTTTTATATATGGATTACTAGAATAATTTTAATTCTTATTCTGTGGGAAAAGACATTTTTATTTGGCTTTAACAACACTACAAAACTTAAAACATCAATTTGTTATCTTATTTAATTTTTTAAATTAAAAGTATAAATGCAGTATCAATATTTAAGAAATAAAGCTTACTTACTTGCAACCTTTTCAGAACATACTAAGCATCAAATGAATTTGGCTATGCAAGTGAAATTCTTTTTCATTAGATAAATGCAATTAGAATACCTTATTACAGCAATTATGCTTTTCTGAATGTAATACAGCACACACATCTTTCTGTACATGATGTCAATGAGAAAAATAGCAATAAAACTCAGAAAAACACACAAATATTTAATTTTATTAACAGACAATGAAATTACTTAAAAAACAAATCCTCAGCAGCACATGAAATAAGTAACACACATCACAATATACAATACACAATAAACATATGTACAAGGGTAAATCTAAACTTTTACACATATACAATCTGTTCAGATTCTTGAACTAAAAATTTTACATCTGCATGCCTGCAATATAATAAGTAACATGCAAAACTAAAAATTGCTTTTTGCAATGACATACATTGTGTTAACATAGTCAACATCTCATTTCATACAAAATATTATTAAAAATATGAACATTTCTTCTCATTCACTCACACACTTCTATTTATTACAGGCAAAATGTCAAATTCTGTACATCACTGTAGTATTTTTTAAAGTAACTTCAACATAAAAATAAAGAAATCAAATTTTATGAAAAACAATAATTTCAAATAAACAGAATTTCTAGACAAGAAAATTTCAATATTTTTATGAAATTTTATTATGTTGGCACACATCAAATAAACTAAACTGTTATGAAACCTCTCTCCATTAATAAAAAGCATTTAAAATAAATAAAATTAGATTATGCAGAGGATTTATGTGATTTTAAAATTTACTTTACAATAAAATTGTACTTATCCATGCTCTGAAGCTGGTAGCTTTTCTTAAGCTAGTTCTGAAATTTATACTTTTTTGGTGGGGGGGGGGGGGAGGGAATAGGGAGACATTAAAAATGCAGTTTTAAATATGTGTTGCATTGCATTCAAATGTTAAATTTAATTTTCAGTCTTCCTGTAGGATACGTCTTCAGTTTTTACATGATAAATTATTATAATAATCTGTCAGAAAATCTGATATTTAATTAAAAAGGAATGAAATGGCAAATGAAGAAAATTTAAAGCAGTTTGTAATGCATGATTATTCGTAAGTAAGTTCATGCAACTGAAAGTGTACTTCTAAAATGCTTCCGGACATTTAACTGCAGTTCCAAGTGTAATTTCTTCAGCCTCAATCAAATTGTCTCTACTTAACTATGATCTTTAAATTTTAAAAAATAGCTTTTTAAAATTTAATCTATCAAATATCCTTATCCTATTCATTATGGTAAGTAAAATTCCTTGAAAGCATTTAAAAACATTACAATGAGAAATTTACAGTTGCAGTAAAAATATGATTTGCATAACTTTTAAATTTAAAATGTAGATGCTTTTAAATTTGCACTTTAATGTAAAACTTCATGATTTGTATATCCTTTTCAGCACTATGTTATCCTTATACTTAATGTGCTATATTCAAATTTAAGATACATAACAAAGGCACAGTGTAATTTTAGCAAGTGATACTTTGTATTCAGATATATACATGGTAGCAAATACAACAAAGCTTATTTCAAAGATATTATCTTTATTTATATTAAAATGGCTACTAATATTCCATGACATTTAGAATAGATTTTCAAGAGGTTACTAAAAACAGCTAAAATCAAAACATATTTTGGAGGAGAGAACAAAAGACTTGCTTGACGCATACAGTTCAGTAAAGCATACCGAATTCAAACACTTTGAAATAAAAACTTCTTTATAGAAATAACCATGAAAGCAATCAGTTTTTTAGACAATTTCTAATAACAGAAAAATATTTCCAGAAATGATAGTATAGATGCTTTTCATGTGAGATATAAACAGAAACAAATTATTCTCACATACAAGTCAAAGAACTTTTGCATCATATAACTTAAGACAATATAAAAACACTTCACATACTTACCTAATGAGGCATCAATAATTACTCATTACTCTATACTACATGAAATAATATTTTGAATATCTGAATGTCAAGATCAAGATTAAATTTCATTCTCTATTTTTTAAAACCTTTCTTTAAAGAATTAAAACTAGAATCAATTGTTTTAGAACAAAATATTAACTACACAAAAAATGACATACAAAGAGCTGATCTCCACAGAGCAATAAATTGGGATGATTGTCTATACAAAGTTTATCTCTGCCATTTAACATTGTCTTCTTGTATGGACTAGATATATATATTTTTTTTTTTTTTCTGGGCAGAGGTCAATGGACAACATCTTCAGCAACAGTGAGCATATATAGCACCTTAGTTGAAAAATCACTATTCCTGGTACTCAACAATAATTAATGAAATTAGGCATTCAAATCAAATGCAAAGCAGTTGTAGTAGTTCTCTGAATGTGCCATAAAGTAAAAGTTTAATAATACATTTGTTTCAATAATTTTACATTCCTGAAAATTCATTATCAATTTTATATAGATATACAGCTAACTTTATTACATTAAATCACTTCTAGCTTTCAACAAAATAATGATAAGTCTGTTTCTATACAAGTGAAAATAATGCAAATATGATAATTTTTAAAGCAAACCAGCTATCCCCTGCATGACGATGCTTTCTCGTTAGTTAATATCATAAAAAAGCAAAATTTTCCTGCGCTGAGACTAAAAGCTCAGTGAAAATATGTCTGCCAAGAAAACCTCAAATCACCCAAATTATGGCTCTATAGGGAGAACAAACAAATTCTATAAGAGTAATATAAATTTTTGAGCTTCTTTCTTATTAATATTTTTACTAATTATTCTAAACCTGGTGACATCAGAATTGCATATCTTTCAAAAGTAATATGTAAACAGAAAATATGAAATGACACCACAGCAAAACTGAAATAGCCTTCCTAAAATTATCAGGTAAAAATTTGCAGAAATATTTAAAAAATAAATTAAAAGCATTTCAATCTCATCTTAGAAAATTTCCTTTAGTAATGGAAAGAAGGAGATGCAGACTTAATCAAAAAAAATGTAACCAGTATAAGGGATGTGACTATAAAATGTTAATGCATCATTCTTTTTATGCTTAATAAAAGAACGTAGAAATAAAAGAATGCTAAAATATGCAAACAAGATGTTCCTGTTTTCAAAATAAAAAGAGGAAATGAACTCCTAATAGCATATTTCCATTTACTTCTATAAATTTCTAAATTGGGGGGGGGTGCAGAATATGTAAAAATCATGATCATGTTAGGTTATTCAATCTGATGAAGTTACTTTATAACCTTTTGAAATAATCTGGAGTATTTTGGTGGTATTAACTGATTTTTAAAATTATGACGAAAACTTTTAAATACCAATCTAAAGTTTGCTTTCTAAACATTGCTTTTCCAAATTTATATTTCATAAAAAATTAGTAATTATACATTTTTTACTCTTGCATAATTAACAATCAATCAAATATAAGTTCAAACATTTACATTTAATATAGAATTAAAACACTGACAACAAATGAAAGTTCTGTTGCCAATTTTTAATATATTTTGAGGAAAAAATTCTATGAATATAATTTTAAATGGCAGATAATTAATTTGCCTTTTAATCAATGCAGAAAAAGTTGTAATTTCAAAGTTACTAAGTAATGATTTTTGTTGTCAGGTCTAAATTTTAAAATAATGAGGAAAATACATTTTTGAGTACAAGCATTTATTCAATAAGATCTTTAAACATATGAAAAGCTCCTTTCTTATAAATCATATCAGTCATCAGAATGTAACCGAAAAACATAATTTCTCTTATAATCCTAAAAGATTTAAAGACCTCTGTAATTTCCTAATGTTATGAAAGTAATTACAAACAAAGTCAAGAAAATATATTATGCAGAAAATAACACTTGGGTTACTATCCACGGCTAACATGCTTAAGAAGGGGAAAATATAAGAGACAGCAAGATTGCTGTAGATAACTCTTATATCAAACTATCAGAAAGGTCAAACTATGCTTCCTTCTTTAAAATTAAAACAGCAGGAAGTTACATAAATAAATGTTTCTTCATAATGAAATGCGAACAATAATTGCATTCTGCAGTTTGGTAGCAAAAAACTTTCAAATATTCACTTTTAGAAAATGATATTCACAATCTCAATATGTTTTTATAAATAGCCACAATTTCACTAAAAATATCTTTTTATATTTGATAATTAAATTACCAACATCTGTTACAAATATTTTAAGCCATTATTTTTGCAACTGCTCATTATAATTTTTTTTTCCCAATCTACTGTATTCAAATTTACAAAATTTAAATTCATCACAAAATAATTTTCTTACTAAAATTAAATGCAAGAAGTTTTATATTTAAAAAGGGAGAAAACTGAAGAAATAATAAATGTTATCACTGAAGGTATTAAGATGCATTATTCTTCACTACTGAAGCACTGATTACACTCTAAAATATTTTCTTGAATACATATTTAATTCTTCAGTTTTTAAGCATTTAAAAAAAAGGCAGGGATGGGAATTTTATGAACAAACAAGAACACATTTAATTAAATGCAATTAGAAATAATAAAATATGTTACTATACAATAAAAGTATAATGATACTTCCTTTTAATTATATTTATCACAACTGTAACAATTATCTCACTATACATTTAATGCACACTTCATTACTTTAGTGAAGTTTATGGTAATATATAAGCTTTTAATGAACAACATTTACTCACTTACTCATTAATAACTCAACTTTAATAACAACTTTTTAAGGAATGTTTCTTAGTTTTAAATCATACAAGTGAAAATAACAAGTGTTTACTTTTTAAAAAAAAAAAAAAAAAAAAAAAAAAAAAAAAGAAAAAGAAAATCATGCAAGATTTTAAAAACACATCTCATCACTTCACACTGAAAAAGATTAAACAAAATACCTGCTTACAGTGAAACTGCTCAGATTTAATGCAATTTTTACAACTATAATTTCATTTTTCCAAAAGAAATTTTCTAATCTTAAAAAATTTAATGACTAATATGAATATGGAAAGGGAAAAAAATAGGATTTCAAAATTAAATCCTTATACTCAAAATAGAAAAAAAAATTAAAATGAATGTGAGCCTTCACAATAAGAGTAAAACATGTGCTAAATAAAGCAAATTCTATCCTAAACTTACATGATAGGCACCACATCAAATTAATGAACACTAACAAAAGAGCTGATCTTCTGTAAAAAGTAAAATTTTAAAGAATTTAAGATGATTTTAATTTGAAAAATTATTAATATTACAATTAAAATATATATTTTATAAAATATGATATTTTCTAATTGCATAAATATAACAATGTGGTTTCTTCTGAAAACAATCTTTGATATAATACCTATTAAGGATATACAAAAAATTTAATCATTTTGACAAACTTAAAAACAACTATTAACAAAAAACATCAAATCACTGCAATTATTTTTCTCTTTTACATAAGTAGAGCTTTCAATAGTCAAAATAATGAATAAATATAATGAAATTTATGAAGTTACATAACCTATCACACATTTATCATAAAAACAAATGAACAAAGCAAGCATACTGACAGAACATCCAGACAGGAAGACTTTGAAAGAACTGTATAAGCTCATCACATAAAACACAACACTTCAGTTCTGATGTTAATGAGGGGAGAATTTATTTTGATAGAGTACTGTAAAAATGTTCAGCACAGTCTTGAATTATTTAAATCGTTTTTGGGTCAATAACAATTAAATGAGCATTTGAGTCATCACCTTTTACAGTGACTAGTCAAGTATACAAAAACCAATCTGATGATCCAGGTTATAAGTATTATCTGTACAACCTAGCAAAGTCTCGCATTAATGCAACAACTGTCTTTACATGTTCAGCACTGAAAAGAAAAACAAATAGTCAAACCTCAGTAAAAAATATCAGTAACAAGTTTATTTAATCATTCTCTTCTAGCTACATCATATCATTTTATCAATAATATTTTACTTGATAAAATTTAACATATATACTGCAAACTACTTCACATATATAAATATAAAATTTAATGCTTAAAATCTCTTTTCTATTAATGTACCATTCATTACATTTCCATAGGCATTCTTATATTTTTTGTGCATCAGCTATAATTGGTAAGATACTTTCTAGCTATTTCTCCCTTCAATATTTAAAAAAAGAGAGAACAAATTCAGACTAAGCGAAATATTTTCTTTTGATATTTACTCTTTCAACAAAGAAATGCATACAACCAAATGCATGAAATGACCAGATTAACATAGATGCCACATTATTTTAATTACTTTTCAATATGAAATCAGCCATCTATCAGCAAATGCTTTTGTTTGCAAACACTAGATTATAAACAATATTTGAAAGACGCTAATTTGGAAAACACAAAATTTCATTTAAAGTTTTAACAAATTTCACTAATAAAACATATTACTCTTTGAAACTAAACTACTGCTTAAAATGAGAGTTACATAGGGTTTCTTCACAGCAATAGCTGCCAATTTTTTCAATAATTTATTTTAACATATGATGTTTAAATCAAATATAAATGAGTCTTTTGTTTAAACAAAATTTATTTAATAGGAAACATCTACATTTCTACAAACTATTTTCCTGACGCATTTTTCACAATGTTTTGGTAATTTTTTCATTCCATTCTCGCAGAATGAAATTGGACAGGAATCTAACCAGTTGCGCATGAATATTTTCACTTGATTGTTGCTCTCAAATCGCTTGCCTCCAAGTGCTCCTTTGAGGGGTCCAACATGAGAAAAGCACATGGCGATAAGTCTGGTCTGTAAGGTGGATGATTACGTGTTTTCCAGTGCATTCCGACTAGTTTCTGGTGTGCTACGCTTGCTGTATGGGGCCTGCCGTTGTTGTGGAGGATCAACACATTGCAGAGGGGACAGTCTCATCTTCTCTGTCAACACTGAAGCCTAACTCGACTCGAGAGACCGCAGTAGTAAGTTGTAATAATGGTTTGACATCCATGTAGGAAACCCACCAGTAGGACCTCCTCCAATCCAAAAAGACTGTAGTCAATATTTTCCCTGCAGACAATTGAGTTTTGACTTTCATGGGGTTTCCTTCGCTTTTTCTTCTCCACTCCATGCCTGCAGGCTTTGACTGGGAGGTGTAATGATGCACCCACACCTCAGCACAGGTAACAGCTTTATGCAAAAAAGCTTCCTCTCCTTCTTTAAAACAAGTTTGAAGCAAATGAGAAGTGTGAATTCATGCAGCTTTTTGATCAACATTCAGTAACTTTGGAACCGAGCAAGCTGAGATCTTTCTGAAGCCCAATTGCTTTCTGATGAATGATTGGACATTTCCATAGCTGACACCAAGTTTTTCTGAAATCTGAAGCACTGTGCAGCATCGATCCCATTTTATTACCTCACAAGCATATGCAGCATTTTGATTAGTCATACTAGTGCAAGGAGGATGAGGATGACTTTGATTCCCAATACGTTCATAGCTTTGCTTGAATTTGTTGCACCAAACCTTCATTCTTGACCATAGAAGAGTAGCTTCCCTGAACTGGCAATCTGTGGTAAATTCCTACTGGTTCCAGGTTTTCACAGATGAGGAACTTTATGCTTTGCTCAACAGAGGTGGGCACACTCCTCTCACACATCATAAGGGATAAATAAGGCATGGGACAAGTTAGCTGGTGTGGTTCCCTTACTCTAGAGACAGGTGACGGAGGACGGGGACGCCTGACGTATAACATAGGTAAACAAGCATATGTCCCACGTCCTCCACTATCTCGAAGAAGCAACTCGCTGGAGCCCCGTGAGGCTGCACCAGGAGTTTACATGGCCATACAGGGGCTAGATGTCGGGTAGTTTTTACATAGGACGTTGTTAATAACACAAAGTAACTTAAAAAGAATATAAAGGATAGCATTAAAACACTAAAACACTCATATAAGATGAAACACATAGATATACAAAATTAAACGTAAAAGCATAAAAACACACTCGTAATTACGTAACATAAAGACATAAAAACACACACGAGAATACATATCATGACACATAGAATACATATGGAAACACGTAGAGCACATAAATGCAAATATTACACTCAGAAGAAACATATGAGACATAGTAAGGTGTGCGTAAAGCAGTAGCGCTGTGCGGAAATATGCTCAGTTCCCATAATACATAATGTACATACTTTCATTAGGGGCTTCTGTTGCATGAATTACATATTTCGTTGCATACAATACATTCGTGCATTGTACGGATATTATATATTTCGATTTACGATAACACATCATTGCATTGGGTGCCCAGTGCTTTACACTGATAAACATGTCAGTAACATTTTTCTGCAAGTTGGTGGCTATTGAAAGCAGATGTTAACACGAGGCTCGAAATTGAATGTGGAATGTGTATTACAGAATGTGTGCATACTGCCGAATATCTAATAGTTGAGTACATTGTCTGCAGTACCATGCTACTGTGGCTCACAAATGTCTTGCCCTAGGGCGTTGATTTGCTGTATAACTGCGCAGATACTCCTTATAGCTGGCGGGTGTTTGATTATGAAACGATAGTAATGTGTTCTATCATTCGTTGGATGTGGTAAGTGGTGGTTTGTTGTTAGACCACAGTCAAATAGGTAGTGCTCGGGAGAACCTAGCATGCCACAGACACAATTGTCAGATGCTGAGATGCCATGCGCATAAAATAAGATGGAAATGGGCCATGACCCGTTATGTACTGTGTCAGTGGGGCTATTGTTATAAGACGTTCCGTGTCTACCTTTGGTAGGAAGTTATACGTCCTTCTCCCTGTGTCGCCACTATTCTTTACAGATATTACGCAGAGTTTTCTTGAGGTGTGAGATGGGGCTCTTATAGTTTGAGCGTGGATGTTGTTGGCAGCCTCATTAGCCAGTCGGTCTGCGACGTCATTCCCTTCGTTGTCGGAGTGTCCTTTCACCCATACCATGTTAAAGCGGGCTTGATGATTATTGCGTAAAAGTTGCTGTATATCTATGATGATGGGTGAAGTGTGGTGATGATCCCTGAGTGCGTGTAGCACTGACATGCTATCTGTGTAAAAAGTCGCATTGGTAAGGGAAAGGTTGAGGGCATGTCGTAGCACATTCAATATTGCTAGTGCCTCTGCTTGGAAAATACTATTGCTGTTAGTGAGATGTCCTTTCCATTCCTTTAGTAGTGTGCCATGTTCGTAGTGAGCAAATGCGCAGCCCACTCCCTGATCATGTTTTGATCCATCAGTGAACAGTTGTGTAATCGCACAGGAAGTGCGTTGTCTGGAGTGCGATGGCTGATGTTAGATTTTGACATGGATCCCTCTACCTTTGATGGCAGGGTGGATGTGTTGCACACTGCCAGGGAGTTCATAGTCTGTTGTTCTGAACGTAATTCCTGCATATGTGGCTTCTTGTCTGTGATGAGTGATTCGTACATAGGTAGCCTCTGCCTTTATGTGTAATGGCAGCAGGCCTGCAAGTATCATGGCGGCGCTGGACGCTGTTGTGCGATAACCTCCGCAGATGTTTAATGCAAACGTCCGTTGAATTGTGGTCAGTAGCTTGGTCTTTCGGCTGCTCATTGGTTGTGTCCATATGACTGCTGCGTAGAGAATTATTCTCTCTGCCACTGTCAGATATAATAGTTTCCTGATATGGGGGTTTTGTCTCCAATTTCTCCCTTGAAATTGCCTGGCTTTCCTTGCGATGGTCGATGTTTTTGTACGTATTTCTTGGAGGTGTGGTAACCAGGTGAGTCTTTGATCCCAAGTGACTCCTAGATATTTAATCGTCTTCGTTATTTTTAAGTTCTTGCCCGGTAGCTTTATACATGGATGTCTTGTGGGATTTGTACCAGGACGTGGAATTATGATGGCTGCGGACTTTTGCCGAGAGATGGTTAACTTAAGTTTATTGCATAGGTCCGTGAATATCGAGCAGGTTTCTGTGGCATTCCGTTCCAGTTCATCTCTTGTGCGGCCAGACACCAGAAGGGCTACATCGTACATTACTCTAGAGACAACCCCACCTAACAACTTCAACTGCCTAAACTTATACAAGTGCCCATCTCGTTGCTCAGCCAATAAACACTCATTCATATTTGATCGCCCTATGTATTTTCAGATTTAAAATGAATTTATTATTCCAGGTTAGTGAGAAAAGATATTGCAAAACATAACAAAATGCCGTTTTGTTGATTAATTATGTACTGATATTTTTATTCTCAAGGAGCAAAAGTTCTTATGCTTAAAGTCTAACCTGATTTCAAAGAAACTGATTTGTTTGGGGGATACATAATTTTTTAATTTACTAAGTTACGTAAAAGTGGAGAAGAAAATTCACATATAGAGAAATAAAAGTGTTCACATACGTGATAATGTTTGTATGGAATTCTGTCAACTGTTCTGGAGTTGCAGTAACTGTCCCACTACTGCTTTGACCTGGTAGCATCCTCAAGGCATGCTCTAACCAGCCTTTCACAGACTAAAATAAAAAGAATAAATAAATAAAATCAACGTAAAATGAAAGCAATAACTGTTATTTCAAGCAATGACCATATATTGTAGAACATTCAGAAATTAATATTTTTATGTTAAGAGGAAAATATGTTTTTTCCTTGATAAAAATACAGGCAAAACATAAAAAATATGAATGCTGAAAATTTAAAAGCAAAGAAATTTGACAACAGAGTTGTGTTTCTTCTAGAACAGTGGGAAAAAGTGGCCTTGATGGAGCGGTGGGCTGTCAAAAGGCATAAATTTATTAATAACAATTTATCTTATTTGAAAATAAACATTTTATTATTTTTGCCACAAAATGCAAAATAATTAAATAATCACCCCCCCCCCCCCAAACTGAGATGCATGTGTGTATGAGAAATGCAGTGAAACTGTTTAAATTGATTAGATATCATCAAATGGGTGACCCCTGAAGCAATTTCATGCAGCTCATAAAGCCATTTCAATTACATATTTGTTACAAATATGGAGTTGCAAAGAGTTTAAGATTTTAATTGTTTGAAATTCAAGTTTATATTATTTTTCATTAAAAATAAACATGAATAACATACCAGAAAATCTATAAATAGAGGTAAATTATTTACAATGTAATATAAACAAAGATTTGAAGTTATAGATTTTATTAATTTTCATTCATACTTTTCAAAAAATAAATATGCTCAGTTATGAATTTTTGCACTAAGAATAATCATTCTGATTGGGAATATTTATATGTGAACAATGTTTTTCCACAGTTGAAAATTAATAAGAACTTGATTGACCAATGAGCATCTACAATCCATGATCAAGATAATTTCTAGTAATTTCTTTGGAAGGATACAAACTTTATCAAAATCAAAATTCCATCAACTGCCAAGTTATAGTAAGAAATAAAGACGTTTACAAATATTTACATATAAACATATGTAATTTTATTTATACATCAAAGAAAAATTTACAAAATAATAGAAAAGAACTATGCTGTTGTTATTTATTCTCAAGTTTGTTCAACTTGGTAAGTTTTCATAATTTATATATTTCTAGTTTAAATTGAAGCAAACTCTTTAATGATCAATTAAACACGCAAATAAATTAAGCTTTCATGATAAGCTCATCTGAACCTCCCACATAATAATCAATTTACTTCTTCGATTATACCTGATTTCAAACAAATATAAACCCAAAATGAATTATTCCTTTTAATGCTATTTTATTCAATACTCAGTGAGTTACCACCTATCAAATGATTTTTGCAGTACCAAAAAGAATATTTGATACTCAGAAGCAGTATAATGTACAAATATGTTACAAATTTGCATCACTTCAACAACACAAATAACAAGAATTTAATGCTACTTCTAAACATATTAAGATTATATGTTGGAGTGGTATGCAGAATTAGCTTTAATTTAATTTTTCAATTCTGAGCATTACTTTCATAAAATAATTTTGCTATTATAAATTCAGAAAGACTATTAAGCAAGCTTCTGCTTCAAATTTGTAATAAGATTTTTCTTTTTATTTTTTAATCCTCCGATTGCATACTTTAATATACAATAAAACACACCTACATATTTACATTCAAAATTGCTAACTTTGTCTTTAATGTTCCTTAAAAATGATACAGGATAATTCTAATTTATTTATTTTAAATTTCTATATTAAAATCCAGGGGAAATGTCTTTAGTTTACTCAAAAAACGTAAAATTAAAAAAAAATCTCAAAGCTTTTAGATTTTACATTACGCCAAATGGGTGTTTTTTTTTTTTTTTTTTTTTTGTTGATATACACATACACGTTTCGAGAGCATTTGGGCTAAAAATATTCAAATACAGCATATCTTTAGAATTTCCGATAGACAGTCTCCCACGATGGAAGAAAAAATGTTTTCCTTCCCTGTAGTGTTGCCATTGCTCGCTTTGAAATTGTTGAGTTTGTTAATCAAAAATTTGTTAAAATTTACCAAAATATGAAACACTTAATAATTCGAAATTCCAAATTTGGGCATCCAGATGCCCATATTTGGTGGAGGATTACGTTATTCAAAATTGGATGGCTTCAGGTACCATTAATTTTTCACAATGCAAAAAACAGACATACATTTATGCAGATTCTTCATTGTTTAATTTCTTTATATATAATATAGGGTGATAATATTTGGCAGCAACAATTTTAAAAGTGATTTGCTGTTTATAGTGAAACACAACAAAATGTTGTTTTGGGACTAATAGCCCTCCTGGGCTACTGCCCCCTTGGACATAATTAAGGTGAGATTTTGAGAAGACATGGTTGTTGCAATTTCCAATATGGATACCTGTAATAGAAATTATATACACACATATTTTTGGTACTTGCATATTAATGCTACCTGCTCTGTACAATTTGTCAAATTTTTACAGAAAAAAAAAGTTAAAAGTTACTTATTGGGTGCAATTGGTGGTTTTTGTGCCCCCTTTTCTATAGAAAAAATTCTAAACTATCAATATTTATCGTAAGTTGGCAAACATTATCAATATATGAAACAAAACACACTTTAGTAATTTAAAATACAAATTTTAATTGCTACATTAAAAAATAAAACATATTCATCTCCAAGCCCTTCAGTAATTTTTTTTGCGCTTCTCTCCAAGCACAACACAGCAAGCTGTTTCCACTCTAAAAAAAAAAAAAAAAAAGGAGGATTGCGGAGACTTGGCATCGAGGAAACCTTGTCATTACCAGCTAGCTACTAAATGCATTCTCTTTATGGATTTTGCAGCACAATTCCATATTCCAGCAGAAATTTTTCTGAAGTGCTGGGTTACATTGCTGGCAAGTTTCACAAGTGCATATTTTAAAATTAAGGGGAAAATATCATGGTTTGAGTTTAAATCCATTGGAACTTGGAATACAACAAAAAGAATGCATATGAAAATAGAGACACTGACTTAAATGTTGACTGAAGTACTGTTATGAGAATGGTACCTGCAGAATGGTTATGAGCATGGTTGTCATGGTGTGGCATATTCTGAAAATTTGGCAGCTTCCTACTAAGATGGTTACGATAACTCATAAGCATATAATATTTCTAATAAAATCTAAACTCTTGCTCAACATAAACAATTTAAACTGCAAAAATTATTATAATTATAATTTAAAAAATCCAAATTCTTTTTGGAGAAGCTCTTATTTTAAAATATATTTTTCAGACTACAATCATTTATTTAGTTATCATCAGACTTTTGTTTATTTGCAAAGGATATGTAAAATATAGACTCAATTTATAGTATATATGCAGGAGAAGGAAAAGTTCTAAACAATAAATAAGAAAATCAAAGCTAAATTCCTAAGCACCGTTCCCATTATTTAAGATCTTAAAAATTAAATAAATAAAATAAAATTCTCCAGTAATATTGTTAGTACTGCTAACAGTCTTTATTTCAAATCCCCTGATGTTGATGTTTTTTCAAATTTATCTCATATGTGAATGAAACTTAATTAATTTGAATTCAATTCCCATATAAGTTATACATATATATATAATCATAAAAGATTTACAAATTACCAAAAACTAGTTACACACTGCACATGACTAAAGGAAAGAGAAAATAACAGAATCAATCCAATAAATATCAAACACAAAATATACACTTTGTATAAACTGAAATCTTTAAAATTAATATAAACAGCAATGTATAGAAGGAATAAAGGAGGCTGAAATGTAATTTTGGTGAGGTATGATTTTATCATAAGCAATAATTACCTCTTTATCAAATAGAACTAATTCATAAAGTACATCTGCAACATTTGAGAGCATATAAGATGGTAAACAAAATACACAAGCCTGTATCAGAGTGTTTACTAAAAGTTGACCATGCTCAGCAAGAAGTGCTTGGGTTAAAGCTCGTCTCTGATGAAAACTTGCTAGATCCTGCTGTGGATTAAATTTAACAATCAGTAACCATGGTGAAATGCCAATTTTATGTAAATAATACGTAATGCACAGAGTTATTAAATTCATGAATTTATAAATATTGCATATCATTGACCAATAACAATTAAATCTATCTTGCCAAGTCACACCAATTAAAATACAATACTGTGACATCGTAATCCATAAAAGACTATATAATTCATAATGATTACTGTAAGGGAATGTGTATGTGGCATACAGAGAGAAAAAGAAAGGAAAAAAAAATATATATTTATGAATGGCAAAGGTAATGAAATCCTTTTTTCTCACAGTACAGTTTTTTTTTTTAAAGATAGCTCCTGAATCAGAGAACTATTATTAATACATTCTGAATCATAACCTTTTAAAATAAATACCCATCTCTTAGACATTTAAAATCATGAAAGTGAAGAAGTATATCAATTACTAATATTAACAAGAAATTAATAAATTACCAAATTAAATTGTTATTTCATATAAAAAAATCAAGTCCCTTGTTCACATTGAAATATATATTAAATTAAAGCTTGCTTCTAAGCAAGAAGCATTAGAATGCATAGATGTTAATTTTATTTCTTTAATAATATCAGTATTGCGAATAAATATGAAATGATACAAGGTCAGTTGAGGCACCAGAACTGTTTTTGCAATTTTCCATTCTTGTGTCTAGTGAAAAGATGAGAAAATAAAGGGAAGATAAATATATTAACAGGAAGACTTCTAGGATGAACAGCACAAAATCCTAATAACTCTGTTTTCCAAAAATTTTCCATAGCATAAGAAATATATTACAAAATTCCTATAACACACATTCACTATGTGTTAATACTATGAAAACATCTTTTATATAGTCACATTTTTCTGAAATCATAGGTCTAAAAATCTTGCTTTTAAATCCTTTAAATTCAAGCCTGAGGTGCAAGTTCTAAAAATTATCATTGCCAGCTTTGTAAGAGCAAAAAGCCAGAAGATTTTTTGAATATAAAACTCAGAAAAGAAAAGTGTAAAGTGAATATTTAACAGAAACCTGATACACATCTGAATATTCTGAAATAATTAAATGAGGAAAAAAGAAAAAAACTGTAATGAAAAAGTATAAAAGACGTGAAACTAATTTTGAAATAACTAAAGTAGTTTTTGCTATGAAGTGTTCCAAAAACTGTGCTTTATGGCATTTATTATCTTATTTTTCAGAATTAAAATATTCATAAGTTGCCAAAATAGAAAGTTATGTCACTTTAAAATATGACACGGGAAAATAAAAATGCTTTATTTTAATGCTACTTCTTAGTTACAATTTTAATATAATATCATTAATGATATTTATCAATTTTATTATGTTTGTAAACAAATTGATGAAAAATCTGCAAATATCCAGATAGAAAATTTTGTATACAAACTGATCCTGAAATTGCCATATTTAGTACCACATAATAAAAGAAATCACGAACAAAAGAAACCAAAAGCGGAAAGGACGTTTCTGATGTAATATTTTTTGTACATATTCAAAAAAGAAGTAATTTCAAAATGTTAATGTTTCAATCGAGGTAGGGCCTCGTGCCGTATTACGACATAGGAAAGAATTCAAATGATAACACACCAAATACATATTTGTCAATGAATCAGAGAATATTCCGCCAAAATGTTAATTGATACTCAAAATGGCAGTTGTAAAAAAAGGGGGGAGGGGGAGTAAAATTATGGACTGTTCGCTGATGTAGGCTGAAATTAAGGACTTTAAAAAAAAAAAAAAAATCATTTCCAAAAAAACCTAAGGACTGTATGAACCCTGGATTATATTAAATGATCTTTAACATCTCCTGGTGAAAAGTATGAAATTCATTTAAAAAGAAAGAAAGGAATGGGCAAGAGTTCTATTAGTTTTACAATTCAGGAATCTAAACAAAATTAAAAGTAGGAACTTTTAACAAATGAGTAGAATGAAAGCTATTTTTTTTTTTTTTTCCAAAATTCTTACTTGTCTATTTCCATCTTGAACTCTGGCACCTTTAATAAAATCATGGAAAAATTTTACGACAGAAGTGTTAGCATCTTTATGGTCTAATGTGCATGCTACAACAGCACACTGAAGAACTGGTTTAATTGTGGGGCACTGCAGGAATGCAAGAGGTGTCCATTGCAAAAATCTGTAAGACAATTTTTTATGCTAAATCTATCACACAGAATTATACTTGAAATGTAAATATAAACCATAAATTTCTTTTGATTGTTATAAAAAATAAACACTTCAAGTAATTTACTTGTACAATACTCAGTCATTAGTTCCAAAATGAAAATTTCACACAATAGCATAAATTGTGATGCCCAGTTCAGTGTTTATAATATTTTTTTTTTTCAAGATACAGTCAAATCTCTGTTAACGGAAAGCTCAGTTTTTATGATTTTTCCCTTTAACAGACTGGATTTCTGTCTTAGAGAAAATGATTTTTTAAGTAAACTTTGACTGATTGGGCTAATACTAGAGATGACATCCATGGTTAACACTGAATTATGCGCTGTTGTAGATTAAAAAAAAAAAAAAAAAAAAAAAAAAAAATATAACGACATATACTATTATTCCCCATACAAATTTCTTTTCTTTCCCATAGATATTTTTTCTGTTTCATTTCTGTTATATTTGCAAATAGTAATTTTTTCATTCTTCCCCAACAAGCAAACTTAACTTTTTGACAGGGCCCAATTAATTGGGAATTAACAGTATTTATATTCACTAATGAAAATTATGTGAATTCTAAATTGTACTGCATTCACAGATTTCTCCAGAAATGAATAAAATTCCCAAAAATTGAAATATATATATAGAAAGCAGTAATGGGGGAAATGCCACATGCAAAAGGATTTATGTGCTTCTGCTTTCTGATACTAGGTGAAAGATTAAAACCCAACCTAATATTATAGAAAACATAATCATGTGAAAAACAACTTGATATGCAAAATTTTACCAAAGTTGAGAATAACTAACTACACATGTCAAATCTATGCTGCATCATTAGAAAAATATTAAAAATATTAACAATAACATTGATCCAAATTTGGTTGTGATGTAATTAAAACCTTGTTTTCTAAAAACTTAGCTGTTTCTTCTCCATAATGGATATTAAGTATTTGCTTACAGACTAATACTTGCTTTCTTTCTTAAGTACTTAATTGGTCAAATGAAGGACTAGTAAATTTATACAGATTTCCAGGAAATCTGCAAAACAGGATTACAAACACATAAACTTGACAGTTTCAAAGTGAATATAAATGTAGTCCTACAGTTCAGATATTAGCCACTGATTAAATATGGTGCACTTGTTTCTTAATTTTACATCATACTTTATGTTTCATTACATTTCTTTCTACTAAGCACACAAAGTGCCTGATAAATGGGGGGGGGACGAAAGGTTTCAGATTTTAAATTATGTCCAAAAGGGTGTTTTTTAAACATTTTTTGTGTTACATTTATTTATTAAATACCATATTCTTCACACTTAGACCATAAGATTCAGTTCAAGAGTAATATCACAAAATAATTTTAAATTGATCATATCCTAGAATTTCCAATATGCAGTCTCACGCGCTGAAGATAAAAATGTTTTTTCTGTACAATGTTGCCATTACCCATTTGAAAATCCTTGAGCATGTTAATAAAAAATTCATTAAAGTTTTACAAAATATAAAATAGATGATAAAACAAATTCCAAATTTCAGATTCCAAATGCCTATATTTGTAGTAGGATTACATGATTTAAAATTTGATGGCTCTAAGTACTGTTGTTTTATTACAGTGCAAGAAACATACATACATTTATGCAGATTTTTCATTATTTAATTTCTTCAAATACAGGGTGATAATATTTGGTGGCAACAGTCTGAAAAGTGAAACGGACATTCAGTGTGATTCGATGCAAAATCACAAAACAAAAACAATAGTTCTTCAAGGATAAAGCCCTTTTGGATTTAAAAAAAATAAAAAATTCTTGCAGTGCATCAGGCATTCAAGAAGATAGAAGTTCCTAAGAGTTTTTTATGTAAGTCCTGCCAAAAAAACTAAACTTTTGCATACAGGGAGATGGCATATTACTTCTATTACATGATTTTAATTAAAAAAAAGCACAAAACAGGAATTCATTTAATCATAAATATACTACTACTGTATAAAATGACGGGTGCAAAACTGAGCCACATGCACTTTTTTCACGATAATCAGATCACCATGGACTATCTGAAATTTATCCACTCCTATAAACTTGAATAATCTAATCTATACTGTGCATTTTAATTTTACAATAAAGAATTATAAAATGAGTTTTACCTTGTGCAGAGACGAAATAAATCATCAACTGTGTCAGGATAATTTCTTAAACCATCACTGCTTTCCAATAACCTGAAGGCTGGACCACAGAAAGCCTTTAAACAAAAATAAATTATAAACAATAAATCATTAAAATTATCATAAATCAATATAAGCTTGGTTTGGTTTTTAATCAACTAGGCTTTGAAAATAACAGCAATGATTAAATAAAAAAAAAGCATTTGTAATAAAAACTTTACCATAATATATTTTAAAATAAAAAAAGGTAGGGAAAAATTATACGTCAAGTCATATTCAGATCTTATTAACTACACACAATTATTGCCCTGCTTATGCTATTGTGGCAGAGAAAGCACATGCTGAAACAAAAAAACAAAAAAAAAAAAAAAATCTTTTTAATTATTGCATGACATACACTCTGATATTCTATCCCATGATGGACCATTACTTGGATGGCCACATATTCAGTGGTCATCCAAAGAGTAAATCACATCTAGGAACCATAACAAAAATCTTATTTATTTTACAAATGCCAAACAGCATTTAAGGCATTAGTTCACAGGCTCTCCAGTACTTTTTAACAATGTTCTCATACTGAGAAAACGAAATACAATTATTTAAATGTTCAAAAATCATATCCTGATTGGAGTCATAGAAGTTACAGTTTGGGAAATCCACCACTCCAATTCTGTAGAGGTGGTTTTGCACACAGTCATGTTCAGTCAGATGTCTAAATAGAGCTACCACAGTCTTTCTTGAAAATCTGGGAATGAAAGTTGTCTCTTTCCCCAGGATCCTCCAACTCTTATCCATAGCACATTGAATCATATCCTGCTTGAGAATTTTCTTAAGGGTCAGGTTAACAAACAATTTAGTCATATGAAAAGAAAGTGGTTGATTAATGTGTTGCATTATCAAAGTTCTTTTCTTAGCCAATGTATTAGCTTTTTCATTTCCCACAATTCTAGAGTGGGCTGGAATCAATTAGAAAGAAATTCTATATGCCATTGCCTTAAGCAAAGGCCTTACAGTCTAAGATTCTTCGGGAACTATTTTGATTATTCAGCAGAGCTTGAAGCACACTTTTGGAATCTAACAGTACGACTGCCTTTTCCCATAATAATAAATACATAATAATAATAATAATAATAATAATAATAATAAAAAAGAGAGATTTTTTAACTGATCAGCGAAACAGCAATCAGTCCAACATTACTAAACTATTTCTTTCTCTCTGTCAAGCTATTCCACGAGACATTACAACACATAAAACATTTTTTTACAATGCAAGAGTAAGGGCTAAACCATGTTTTGGGGACTATAATAATACTTTCAAAGAACATTTGCTATGATTCATCATCAATTTGGCTGAATAATATATTGTCATAAATAGTTTTATTATTTACATTAAAAGAGGGGAAAAGGCTACTTAAGCTCAATACAAAAGAGAAAAAGGCCATGAATAAAAAAATTACCGTAATTTCGCACATATAGTCTGCAGACACGATTTTATATTAAAAAAATTTCAAAAATTGTCAGATAGTCCGCACCACCAAATAGTCCGAGATTACGTTTTTTTAATACGGCAATATTAATGTATTTTAGAAACAAAGAACTAAGTATAAATAGAAAAAAAGGCGATGTTTCATCAACGTTATCGAAGATGAAAGACAAAATACGAAAACAAAATACTGTGCAACGTGCTATCCTCATGATAAGTGGTAATGAAATGTGACCTTCGACCCCACTCACTCGGTGTTGCCAAACTAACGCTATAAGTAAACGAATCACGCTTTTTTTCGTACTCCAGGTACTTGCTACTAAGGCTCCTAAAATCCGAGCTGACGATCGATACGATATATACAAATGTTTTCTAGGAATCTCTCACTTTTTTTATATTTGATCATCGGCAGTTCACGACAGCGTGTTTTTTAAATTTCAACGATTTAACCATGAACAACCAGCGTATTATCCGCACTGGTGGATAGTCCGCAGCTTCAAAAATTCACATTTTAAACACAGATAGTCTGCGGACTATACGCGCGAAATTACGGTATATTAAATGACCAATGCACATAAATATTAACTAAAATACACATAAATATATTAAATGAAAGTAAAATTAGGGATGCATCCAGCATATATCACTCATTTTGAAGTACCACAAAACTTTGTAATACATTTGAGATGAAAGGGAAAAAATTTCCTACCTGTAACATGTCTAACAATCCTTGAACACAACCTGGTTCTGAGCCATATTCATCTACTAAAACACTTCCTAGATATAGGAAACAGGAATGTTGATGGATCTGGTAAATTTGTACCATCTAAAAGTAACAGAGACAGTCAGTAATCTTGTAAAAAACAGTTTACAAAAATCATTGAATAGTAAATTACTCTTATGAATTGAATTTAAACTTATTGTGATGCAGTAGTACACAAAAAATTCTCATTTAAAAATTTAAGCTTTGCATAAACATATAATCTCATAAAATTTCAATATCATATTTACATTCAAAAAGTTTAAACATTATGGAATGAAAAACTGCTTACTTGAGTAACTAGAGGTTCAAGCAATGAAGCAGATTGTTTTCCAACACATCTAACTGCAAAACGTATACAACGACAACATCGTTCAATTATCCGTACATCTGACTGATATTTATTACAAGTTTCAGACAACAAAGGCCACACTTTCTCCACAACAGGTTGACAAGGATGTGTTTGGCCATTTGTAATTGAAGGAGTAGTATGCCTAAAAGTATTTAGAAAAATAAACACAATTCAACTTATTGCATTAAAAAAATACTAACACAATCACTCTATATGTATGTATGTGTAAGGTAAAGAATATGCATGTTACTAGTTCTAGCTTTAATTTTTTAGGGTTGGCACTCAAACAGGAGAATGAAATTCCTCGACTTTTCCAGGTTTTCCAAGTGTGTTTTAAGAAAATTCCAGTATATCCACATAGTGCACCTTATCTCTGCTGAGGGTAAATTAATTATGGTACAACTTGAAAACTCAAAAATTTGTCAATTACACATGACTTATAATCCCCAAAGCATTACTATTATAGCTATAATAGAACTTGTGGTCCTCAATAACTTTCAAATTAAGTTTCTGTCAAACTAAGAAAACTTGCTCTACAATATTTGCATACTAAACCACCATTCTCTTCAGCAATCATTAGCTGTATCACAAAATTAGTTAAGTCCAAATAAATTACTAATTATATGAAAAGATTATATAATATCAGAAGTCATAATGCGTCTGAAATATCTGCAGTCACTGACACCGAAATGTATTTAAGATAAAATGTCAGCACAAATGTAATTAATTAGTTAAAAGTAATAGTTAAGATTTACTTTTACACACATAAAACATGCCTTTATAAAAGAAATTAAATACTCATATATTTCATTCAATATATTTCATTTAAGTAATAAACAAAATCAGAAGTGAAACTCACTCATTTTTAAATGCAATGTGTAAATTTTTAAACATTGGACTTTTTTCATCATTAATTATGATAAAATTATGCCATGAATGACAGCTTTATTGTTTTAAAAAGTATTTAAGATAAATTCTGGAATGGAATTGTTTACAGAATGGTAATTGGGGACCAGTTATATCTTTTCAACGTTGGTGCGAAAATCATGTTTTTGGAGATTACTGTACAAAATTCATTGACGTTTCTAGATTTTGACTAAAATATTTAAATTCCCGTGTCAATTTTTGAATTCCCAGACATTTCCCGGTAATGCGGCAATTCTGATAATAGCCCCTTAACATTCATTTTCAATTTGATTATTCACCCTCCTGTCCTAAGAAGATGCAATATGCTTATAATAAATCTCTGTCTAGTGCATCATTCCAAAATTAATCCTCAACATATGATTCTCATATTACATACGTGATACATGTACTTACATAACGGCAAAGGATCTTTTAACATGTTAAACTTTGAAAACTAAAGCCTTGTGAAATTTACTATTAACCAAGCACTTACCCATGAAATATTTGGTTTCATTCACAATTTTTATGAACATTCAAGATGCATTTTCTTAAATCAATATTAAAATATGTGAAATCCTTAAGAACTTTTGTTAAAATATCTAATCTAAATAATATCAGTAGATATTTGCAAAGCATCACTGGGAAAATATTTTGCCTTTCCAAACTCTTTATGCCATTATTTTCGCAATATTTATCCACAATGAGCTGCAGAACTTTGAATACAAGTAATAGAACAGAAATTCATACGCTGAAATATGGATGTATGTGGCAGGAAACTACCACTTTCTATGAAAATCACAGAAAAAATTCTACAAATCGTAAAAATCTCTTTTACGTAATATATTTGTAGTTGAAACTATTTTCCTGAATATAAACACTGGTAAATGAATAAAAAAATTGACTGCTTGGAAGCAAAAGGACATACTGACAATGATGACAAATTCACAGACACACATTAAATTATGCAATCATGCTATACCAAGTTTTATTCATCAGTTCTTATTAAGTTGTGAAAGCAAATAAGTTTGAATTTCAAATTGATTATCTTAAATGCAAATATATTAAAACACATGTGCAGTTCTTTTCATTAGATTTAACATGCGGTGGACCGCAAAGAGATAAGAAATGTGCCCACAGGTTGCAGTGTCTGTTACAAGAGGTAAGACAACAAACTCTAATACTACAGAAACAAAAATTTGTTCAATTATGGCTATAGCTGTTATTACAAGAATCATGACTTCATGATCACTGTCAAGGGATTTTAGCAATCTGTATTGTGTCTGTCAACAAAGCCTCTTGATTTCAGGGAGGCTGGTGTACTAATCATACTGTTGCTCCTCTGATATCATGCTTATTATAATGAATCAGAAGATGTAAAACAAAACTGAAAAGTTAACAATGCGTGACTAATTCAATCTGTAAATTCAGATAAGGCGAAAACTCAGAATGCTCCTTAAATCTTAGTTAGAGAGACTTTTGCCACTAACAACATCCTCACATCATGAGGACAATAACCTAAAATGTTATTGATGGATTATATTAAATGTATTTTGTTCTATATGCAGTAATACAGAACCAACAATGGTTACCACAAGGAGCCATGTACCCATGTCATCCGTTCAGCGTCCCGTCATCCACCCCAAGTATGATATACATTAATATATGTATAATAAATATTCGTATTTCATGCAAAAGTTAGATAAATGTATTAAAAAAAGTACCTAAATATAGCTGCAATTCTGTCTAACCAAACAGCAGGGTCTGATTTTGTGCCTTCTTTAATGTTACTTTTTTCTTCTTTTAGTAACTAAAATGCAAAATGAACAGAGCAAACTAAATTGTCAATGAAATTAAAGCTAGGTGCAAGAAATTAAAATTATACATGAAGAACAGAAATATTTTAAAAATACAAGCACAATTCTTCACAGAAGATTTACACCATTTTTTTTTTTTTTTTTTTAAATATGTCAAGCTTAAAAAGTATAGTTATCTGCATTTGTTGTTTAAGCAACAATAAAGTTCTTAAGACACCAATCTGAATGCCAGAAATTAAAGGAAATAATAATGATTTAATCTTATACAGAATATTAACTCATATTTTTAAAATAACGGAATATTGCTTGAAAAGAGTGGAATGAATTCTTCTCAAACCAACACATATATTTACTCTCCATATATATTCCTCAATATAAAATTAAATTAGCTTTTATTCTTCTGTAGTATTATCCCTTTGAGGGGCGGTATATGAAATAATTTAAATTGTGGTAAAATTTTGGATGAACTGTAACTTAAGCTTCATTCAGACGGGGGCGTAAAGGGCATAAGTAGTTAAAGCCGAGCTCCATTGCCAAGGCAACCAGTCTGTGCTACGTCACAAAATCTGGTTTAGGACTCGTGGCATAGGGTTCAAAGTTTTCAACTTTACAGCCGAGTTTGGGATAAGCGTCGACCAATCAGAGCGAAGCTAAAATGAAACGGTGTTCTACAGAAGATTTTGCTGATACAAAACAAGCAGAGCGAACGCGGGAAATCAATCGAGCAGGAGAACAGCGTGGGAAAGTTGTAGACACATCCACGAATAAGCAAATTTAGCTTCTCTCATTGCCCACAGCTTTACACCCTGTTCTCGCAAGTGTGAACGGAATTCCCGTATTTTATGCCTTTATGACTACCCCTCTATGCCCTTTACGTCGCCATCTGAACACAGCCTTATGGGCTCTAAAAACACAAAATTGGAACTTGAAAATAGTTAGAGCAAAATACCGAATTTTTAGGGCTTATGTATATTTTATAGCCTCTATGACATTTTTTTTCAAGTAGCTGCCAATTGTTCATTTTTTTTTCATCTATTTTTGTGTACTTTTGATATGTGTTTATAGAGATGGGTGCTTGAATATAGTTATGTAAATCTAAAGTAAAAAACTTTTGAAATTTTGCCAGAAATTTAAAATTTTAAAAGCAAAATTCACATTTTTATGCGCTTTGATAATGCCACCTAGCTGAATATACTCTAAAATATAAGTAAAAAGCTTTTGAAAACAATTAATTTGAAAGCAATATTATCATTTTATGAAAAAATTTAGCAAATATAACATTGCAGGTGTAAACTGTACCATGCTGCTATTGAGCTAGTATAATGTTACAAGGAGATGTAACTCAGGCGAAAAATAAAAAACTGAAAAATGAAACACTACGACTCAGCTAAAAAATTATGTTGCATTTTTGGAATTATATTTTATACTTTAGATACAGTCAAAAGTCTTTAATCCGAACTCGTCGGGACTTCGGCGATTCCGGATTATAGATCATCAGTTTAAATCTGGTAAGATGGCATGCAGAAATTATAAAATTAAAAATATGAAACTGTAATTTATGAAATAAAGAGCAGTTATGATCTAAAGGGTATCAGAATTTACAAAAAAAAAAAAAAAAAAAAAAAGCTTAATATTTATTTGTTTACTTTATTAAACATTTCTTTCAACGCGTGCATGCGTAAAGCATACATTATGCATATCGAAATTAGAAAATTGCAACCAGAAAACTATTTGATGTGCATTCGTGATATTTATAATGACGAGGAATTTGATTTAAATTGTATCAAAGACGGAGTACATCGAGATGAAATACTACATTTAGTAAGGAATTATAAGCCGAAAAAAATAAAAACATCTGCCCTGAAGATAACGATAGCACTGACAGATCAACATCCAATTTATTGTGCCCCCCCCCCACAGAGCAGCGTGAAATTGATAAACAGATTTCGAAATGGTTAGAAAAACAAAGGATATGCTTTTATCCAATTTTTGCAGCAATTCCACTTTTTGTTTGATGGACATCGAAACATGCTTTCGCTTTGTAGATCCTTTGGCAGCTCCAAAATCAGAAATTCTTTTTGACATAATCGAAAATTCAAGCTTACTTTTATAAAATTGCTCTAATAGTCCACAAAAAATAATAAGCCAGATCCAATTAGAAAATTAAGGAACAACGCAATCTGCAACATTAACTGAAATAGGTAATTAGATAATTTTAGCTTAGCTTATACCATCCGTTATACATTAAACGTGCATGTGTAAACGTATTATGTGAATGCATAAACGAATAATACCTTTACGCATGTGCAGAAAGTTCGTAGCTTTGGGGTCCGGATTATAGATCATTCCAGATTATGGATGTCTGGATTAAAGAGTTTTGACTGTAATATATAAAAAGAGCATACCTCATGCTATGATAGCAAGAATCGCCGTCCCCCAAACACTTTCAATAATTGAGCCCCATAATTTGTTTTTTGTGTGTAAGTGAAGGTTAAAATATATCATTTTGTTCAGGAAAAAAAGCTGTTAAACAACCCCCCCCCCAAAAAAAAACTACTCAAATGTTCCCCCCTTTTTTTTCCTTCAAAAGATAAATGTTTTGCATCTAAAACTGGCTTTGGAAATATTTTCCTTGCTCTCACCAACTGTGAAGACTTGTTTTGAAACCATGTACTTGTATCCTAACCCAGGGGAAATATTTCTCGTGTTTCCTAATTACTCATCTGAAATTAACAAAGATGATACTCTAAAGCACTGGTTCTCAAACTGTGCTACATTACGATATTTTTAGTGGTACAATTTTTACAGAAAAAAATTAAATGAATGTAAAATTGCACCCTTTTCAACATTTTGTTCTAATCTTTATTATCCAGAAACACATATATTTTTAAGTTTTTGATTTTTACACATATATTTGTAAGTTTTTGATTTTTTGATTTTTAATGCTGAAATGATGACTTTTCCAAGAGCTTCGAACAATTTCCTGACATTACAATTTCCAAGAATTATAGCGGCACTCCAATGTACTCATAGTGTACTGATTTATATCTTATTGTAATGTAAAAGTTTCACTTACAAATATAAATAATATAAATTTAAAGGGTTTTATTCTTTGTTTATATACACTCCATTTAGGATGCATTGATTTTTAAATATGAAATGCTTTTACGGTGGTACAAAATTTGAAAAGTGAGAACCGCTGCCTTAAAGCATAAAAGCATGCTTTCAAATAAACAGTTTTCCATTCCACTAAGAGAAGGACCTAAAATGCCTTTCTGTTTCATCTGTTTGTAAATGAGCTTTCCTTTTGTATGATATTATCACAGCCTCTTTGTCAAGATAGCATTACAAATCAGCTGTCACCTCTTACCATTTTCCCTGCATTCTAGGATTTTGGAAAATACGAGGCAACAAGTGTCTTTCGGGGTTAACATGACACATTTAACCCTTACACTTGTGCAACGTTTTGACACTAGACGGCAATTTTGAAATCGATGAGTCTTTATCCGGGTAAAGGGTGAAATTAAAATTTTAGATAAACAGAGGTGAATGAGAAACTCGACTGGAGTAAGCAAAGAATAAAATGAAACTAAAATAATTTTATTCATTCTCAGCACAGGGTCAGTAAATTCCCCATGCCCCAATGAACGTAATATTGAATCTTAAGTGACTTTATATTAATCATAAACAATTATAATGTAAAGAAATTCACATTTCACAGAGCAGAGAAAGAGAAGCCTGGTGCTGTTATGTATTTGCCTAGTATCTTCAGTTTGGGCGCTGGGATATTTAATATACTGGTCTTAAAATTGTATAAATAATCTTTTTTCAATTATCAGCTCTGAATGAAATGCAGTAAATATATAAAATTCAGCACGTGTACATCATACATTTGCAGATTTTGAATTTTTCCTTCCCCTCCAACAGAATTTATGAATCTTCAAATATAATACCTTGGAATGAGGTATATTAATTTCATAACTGCAAAATACTGAGCATTCATAGGGTGGTGCTGCCATCTAGAATCAAGAGGAAACACTAGAAACTTATGATTACAACTCTTGGTGTAGAAAAATTAGCGTTTTTTAGGAGGTTAAAAAAGTGACAAATAACTGGTATACTATATATATATATATACCAGTGGTGCCCTTTAAAGGGCCATATTGGCCTACAGTAGGCGGCCAGTGTAACTCTGATTCAAAACCCGGTTATGACCACGTGATTCTGAGACTCCTTTGCCGATGCTTTATTTTTCTTCTTTTTTCCCCTTTCTAGTAATTTTGTTCTCCTGATGAGGAGGGAACTTTAGCTGCCCTCGAAATCGATTGAGTGTTTAACTATATGAACGCTAAGTACAAGGTTGTTATTGTGATTTTGATTGCACATTGGCATGTTTCTCTTCTATTCTACAAAACAAATGTTGAATCCTTACTGTTAAATAAATTTTGCAGTTTTTTCTTGTGTGTAAGTTGTCAAACTAAAAACACATAGGAGCTAATTACACAATGTAATTAGGAAATCTTAAAATTAACCTCAGAGAAGCTGTCAAATGACTATAATTTTTCTTTTTTCTTGTCAAATGATTATAATTTCTGCAGTGAAATCTAATCTTAAAGAAAACCCTCTACAAAGATTCCAGAAATTCAGAAAACATAAAATAAGAATGAAAATGTCTGAAAAAGTTGACTTTTAAAAGAATTTCAGAAGCTCTCAGAAATATCAATATTAGATGAAGTGAATGTAAAAGGTTAAATAGCGAGAAAGTTGTTTTCATAAAATTTTTATTTGCCACAAATTCAATCATTCAAATAAAAATGAACAAAAAAACTTTCTTTCAAAATCAGTCACACAGAATTTATACCAATAATACATCTGTAAAGTATGCTCAATTGCAGAAAAATATGTTTAAAAGAAATAGAATTATAGAACAAAATGAGAAACAAATTTAAATTCTCGAAAAGTGTGTTCTAAACATATAAACTTCAAGCAAAATAAATAAATAAAATAATAATAAAATACATACGGAAGATAAAGGTAGCATTTGCGTTTTACACAATTCCATCAGACCATCTGTTATTTTATCTAATGGCATCTGACCTAATATTAGTGCAGTACCTATATAAAAAAATTGCACAAATTAATGTTTTTACTACCTTTACATTATTATTTAAAATATTAATGTACACTAATAAGTAATATATATTGTACATTACAAAGAGTTTTACCATTATAAAAATTACAACATTACAAATAAATTTTATTATTACTAAAGCAACACAGTTCTTTCTTGTATGACATGGCAAAAAGAAAATGCAAATGAATTGTACAAATGCAATGATAACATACACATATTTATAAAACAACGACAGACAAATGAGAAAGAAAATTTAATGCACAAGCAAAAATTTTGCCTTCGACTGAACAGCTTGAAACTCACTTTGTTCAAAACCATGCAGTTTAAAAATAAATAAAGGAAAATGTAAAATATCAACTAAGAGGATGATATTTTTTTTTATTACGGCTGAATAATTTACTTAAATATCCATATCTAATGGGGTTTCAGCTAATATATATGCAATAAAAAATATGAAGAAAGTATAACTTTTTTAGAACACAAATACATATTTGATGACACAAATGGTAGAATTTTAAATTCTTCATGGAAACATTCCATAAAAAAAAACCCTTTATTTAAAGTACACAAATTTTACTTGATAAATTAAATAATGAAATGATCTTTAATTATTTTTAGTCCAAAGGGGCTTTGTCACTGAGGAACTAATGGGTTCCCCCTGCACTTCAATGTTGAATCTCTCTGAATGTCCATTTCACTGTTCAAACTGTTGCCACCAAATATTAGAGCATTGTATTATATTTGAAGAAATTAAATAATGAAGAATCTGTATAAATGTATGTATGTTTCTCACATTGTGCTAAAACAATGGTCCATAGAGGCATCAAATTTTGAGTGATGTAATCCTGCTGCAAATATATGCATTTGAAAGCCTAAATTTGGAATGCCGAATTATTAAGTATTTCATATTTTGTAAAACTTTTGATTACCAAACTCAAGGATTTCAGAGCAATAGCAATATTGTACAGAAAAAAAGATTTTTAGCTTCAGCGCATGAGACTGTGTATCGGAAATTCTAGATATGCTCAATTTAAAATTATTTTGCGATATTGCTCTTGAACTGAATCTTATGGTCTAAGTGTGAAGAATATGATATTTAATAAATAAAGGTAACACACAGAATGTTACAAAAATGCCCCTTTGGATGTAATTTAAAATCTGAAACCCTTCAGATTTTCTTTTTAAAATTATTTTTAATTAGTCGATTCCCTAGATAACAGTAGCAGAAAGACCTAGTCTCAAAAAGCTAGGGCCCCCAAAATTTTCCTAAAGTCACAAAGTCTAGTTCTTTTATGGAAACAAGGAAAGTGAGCTGTGGGAATGATTAAAGGGTCCAACAATATATGATCTGGAAACCTATATTAAGCTCTGAGTAAGGGCTGAAATTTGCTTAGCTCAATTACATGTTTATTTAAAGTCAAATGCAACATAACCCACATAGCACAAAAACATCCTTGGGATATCCCAAGGATGTTGCTCGCGGGATATGCGCACATCCTCAGGACATCCCGGAATATCCCGCGAACCTCCTAAACACCTCCTCCCGAGTGCTTAATGTCACATCCCGGGATATCCTCAGGACATCCTAACCAAGTCCCATCGACAGCGTGCGGGATGTTATTAGGATATGAACTCCTACTTACTACATCCTCAGGACATCCCGGGATATCCCACAAACCTCCTAAGCACATCCCATTATATCCTAAAAACATCCTATCTATGTCCCATCGACAGCATATGGGATGTTATTAGGATTTAAAGTCCTACTTACTACATCCTCAGGACATCCCGTAATATCCCAATTTCCTCCTAAACTCATCCTCCTGAGCGCTTAATGTCACATCCCAGTATATCCTTAGGACATCCTATCTACGTCCCACCGACAGCGTATGGGATGTTATCAGGATTTGAAACACTAGTTACAATATCCCTTTAACCTCTTAAATACATACTCTCAACTGCTTAGTGTCACATCCCAGTATATATACAGAGGAAAATTCCAGTGAAAGTATGTGAAGGTGTGATGATCTAAAACCTACTTTTTTTTACACAGATAGTCTCAAATCGTTTCTCCTATGGTTACTATGGAAAAATCAGAAATGTTGAAAATATTTATACAACTTATTTTGTTTTTAAATCTGAATTTGTGAATATATTAAAACTGAGCAAGGAAATTAAAATGAATTATTAATACAAAATATTAAAACTGAAAATTTTGCTTTTATTTTTAAGATATTAAAAATCTTTTGATCATTTTTAAACATCCAATAGCCCCCAAATTGAATTATTCATAATTAAATTATTTTACAAAATCAGTTTCTAATTTCAGTTAATTTGTATTAAAAATTGAATAATAAAATTACCCATTTAATAATCTTTACATAAATGAATCATCTTTCTTTAAAACATGTAAGGAATTTATAGTGTTTTGATGACACTGTTGGGAAATTGTTAAAAGGAATAAATTGTATTTTTAAAACTAAATCAATTCCTAGCCTCAGAATAAATAAATATGTTTTCGTAACATGAGAATGCTGCAGGCTTTTTTATATATTTAATATTTAGTTTGTAAAAATTTGACATTATGTTAACAATTCTTTATATCATTCAAAAGGTAACTCAAGAAGCTCTTCTAAAATTCTATCTTTCTGCTCACACAATTAAAAAAAAAAAAATCTGAAAGGCCTCAGATTTTAGCAGTCACTCAAAGAGGCTAAAAGTTTATGAATGCATAGATTATCAATACAGATGGGGCAGTGGAAATAGCAAAACATTTTATAAGATACTGACACCAGAAAGTTATATATCTTCTATATATTTGAAAAATGAAGAAATATATCATGTAATTATGTAGAAATATTAAAATGTTTTCAATTAGATATATCATGAATTAAATGCATTTTAAATCAATCAGATTAAAAATTAAAAAAAGCATTGTTAAGAACTGTGTGTAATGCTTTTAAATAGCTTGGCTTGTTAGTCAATAATATATTAGATTTTAAAGGTAAATATGTTAAATTTTGCCAAATGGCAAGACTTGAATGAAAAGCGAAACAAGTTTACGACTGACGATATGAAGTCACATTTCAAAACTAATAGCCCTTTTAGATTAAAAAAAAAAAGTTCTGAAAATAATTTTGCAATGGTTCATTGGTATTATTTTACGCAAAATTCAGTAAAATGAAATTTACCCGTTGAAATCAGCACCAAATTAAACTTTGTAAATTCTAGCGCATGTTAAAGGTTGTCTCATCCAGAATTTTATTACTAACCATTCATTTCAGAGCAAAATAAAACAGTAATTGCCATTTATATGACAATCAATATCAAAAATTTAAATCTGCATTTTACGCAACATAGAAAAACTTCAAAAGATCTACTGTTTACCATGCAATTAAGGCATTTTATTCTGCTATCAACTCTACCAATTATTAATTCCATTAAGTATATTCAGTTTACTCTTTCTGCTCAATATATGCAATGTAAAATTTTCCATAAATTTATTAATTCATTTTATTTTGAGGTGAGCTTTTATTCAACTCTCAATGTCAACGAGAATGTTTAGTTCATTTTTTATTCGGTCTCAAAAGAGAAATCAAAATACGTGGTATTTATGAATCAAAATACATGAGAAATCACAGTGAGAAAAGCACTGCTACCTTAAACTGTGATTATATATAACAAATGCAGTGAATTATAGTTAAAAAATAGTGAAAATATTTATATTTCTGAACTATTTCATATATAACATTTTCAGTTTCGCATATGTGGCAATTTAAGAACTTTTTTACGTATACCAATTTTTTGAAATATCTGCAAATTTTTGTATCTTCAAGGAAAGCTTATTCTTTCACCTTTAGTATATAAGTAATGGTAATTTACCAGATAAATAAAATTACTTAATGGGGAATACAGAAAAATATCTAACCACTTACCTTTGTGACTTCATCTGCAAAGAGAGACTAAAAAAGTAGTTCAGCTAAATCTGCTATAATAAATATTTATAATAATGCTAAATTATGCAATATCTATTAATATGACAAATTTTTGTAAAGCTATTTATTTGGATGAAAAATAAACACATTCAGAAATTTATGGCACTATATTATGATTAACAGAGAGGAAAAAACACTTTTCAAAATTCAAAATAGTTTTTATTAATCCAATTTATCACATTTTATTTGAATTCATGAAAAACAATCTTATATCCATGTATTCTTATGTATATAAGAACTCTTGATAAATTGGATCTCTGTCATTGCCTTTCACAGCACCTAAAATAAAAAAAAAACACTCACAATTACTATATGTGAATATAATTCATAATTAAATTTAAACAAATGACTATTAGAATGCAAATTAAAGGAAGCATTTAAAATATTTTAACATTTAGTACCTATAAACAGAGTAGCAATTATTTGATTTTTCGATTATAGTAAAATAAACATGGGGGATGCCTTTTAAAATTTTTTATGTCAGAAAATAAACTCAAACCACCAGCTGAACATATGAGCAGTTTTATCAATCAGCCACTGGTAGGTAACCTGGATACTGAATCAACATATAAAGTTGCCAAGATAAAGAGAGAAACAAAATTATGATAATCACATCTTACCTATTCATAAAACTATTTTAAATTTAATGTGTAGGCAAGTCCAAAAAGAGTGAGAATGAATTTATTTTGCAACACAAAGTAAAGTCTTGCAGGAGCAAAAAAAAACTTGTCTCATGAGATTGGCAAGTAAAAAATAATTAACTGCATCTGGTAACATTTATCTGACAACACATAAGTAATTGTTAGCTACGTGCAGAAAATAAAATCTGATCAGGGGCGTAGCTAGAGGGGGGCAAGGGGGGCATCTGTCCCCGGGTGCAGAATCCAAGGGGCGCCAAACTGATGTTAGAACATTTTAGAATTAAATGTTTTCCATCCTTGGCAAGCAGTAGGGGGCGCGAAATCTTCAGTTGTCCCTGAGCGCTGAAAACCCTAGCTA